TGTGATATTTGTGTGACAAAGGAGATTCAGGATTTGTGTGATATTTGTGTGACAAAGGAGATTCAGGGTTTGTGTGATATTTGTGTAACTAACTTTAGTACTAAACTTGTACTAACTCATGATGATAAGGTAGTCTGGTGAACAAGTGTTTTGAGGCTCTCATAAAATATCCACATCATATCGGTATGCAGGTACAGGCCCCAGGTGTTCAATCCTCTTCCCCCAACACACCTGGGCCTGTAGCTAGACTCCCCCACACTAATGCTGTGCCCACAGAGCACTCCAGCCCGAGTTTCCAGCCTATATTTCTCCATCATTGTGATGTGCACATAGACTGCATTGTAATTCATCTTGATTGTGTGTCATGTTGGTGATGAACAACTCTGTACATTTATCAGTATAATGTTATCCCCATCAGTTGGCTGCCATCAGCTGGCCATGATCCGCTCCTCCACTATGTTGCAGGATAAAGTGATAGATTGTATCTTGGCCTGTAGTTTTTCAAAACACTATGTGGCAATTACCAATTAACCTAAATGTGGGTGCTGAGAATACTTTGGTGATAATCTTATGATTTGATAGACAAATGCATTGTTTTATCATGTGTTGGTTGCCATCTTCCAACTAGGGCCATGTTAATGAGTGTACCAGCTCCTGTAGATGCCCATGTCTGGCTGTCCAGAACTGTAACTGCAGCAGACTTACATAGAGACGTGGTATACTCATTCCTCATACTCGCTCCTGTGTCCAGATATACTCACCGGTAGTTCACTATGCCCAGATATACAGATACCTTACCAGTGTCTCACTGTGCCTGTGCCCAGATATATATACTAGGCACATAAAGAAACTGTGCATACAAAAATTTAAAATCGAAATTTATCAAACCTGTGTAGACACATAAGGATTTAAACTCAGAGATTAGTGACATGTATCCAACATGCATGCACGTGCCACGTTCTGTGACGTCAGTGGGTTTGTCCTTGAGACGTGCAATACGTTTTTGCATGTGCATTCCGGGAAAGAGAAACAGAGCAAATGAATGCCACACAATACTGTCACTTTGGAAAGCTCAACCCCTGCCCTTGCGATCGTTCAAAAAATTAAATGGCTATTCAAACGCATAACATGCCAAGGCTCATGTCTGCACAACGTCATGAGGCCATTGGGATGGTCCGTGGGGGGAATGTCTCAACGACAAGTGGCTGCACATTTCCACTGCCACCGGAACACCATTTCTGCACTGGTGAGACGCTACCAGAACACAAATGACGTCATCGATCGGCCACGTTCTGGACGTCCACGTGTAATAACGCCAAGACAGGACAGATGGAGAAGGGTGACCCATCTTCGCCACAGGTTTCAGACTGCAGTGATGATTGCCCGAACCATCCCATGAAATTTGCCGTATCCACCCCAACACAGTTCGACAACGTTTATGTCATCACGGGATCAGACCACGACGTCCCGCCATACGGCCTATCCTGACACAACGTCATCGACAAGCTCGCCTAATGTGGTGCCCGAAATCATGTCCGCAGACCCTGGTTTTAGTGGAGAAATGTTGTTTTTACAGATGAGTCCAGGTTTAACATTTCCCATAGTGATGGACGTCAACGTGCCTATAGACGCGTGGGAGAACGTTATGCACAGGCCTGAGTCTTGGAGAGGAATCGCTTTGGTGGTGGTTCCATGATGATTTGGGGTGGAATAACAGCACGCCAAAGAACTCCTTTGGTGATTGTTCAGAGTAACTGAACTGGTGTGGGCTACAGGGATCAGATTCTTCGACCTGTGGCAATTCCTTTTCTGCAACGTCATGGCCCTGGGTTAACATTCCAATAGGACAATGCCCCGCCCTCATACGGCAAGGGTTGCTATGGATTTCTTGCAACACAACAACGTTTACTTACTGCCTTGGCCTGCAAATTCACCGGATCTCTCCCCGATAGAGTATGTTTGGGACGAGATGGATCGTCGTCTATGCCGTCTTCCTCATCCGCCAGATAGCGTCCTTGACCTTGCAACAGAACTTGAGAGAATCTGGCGTGACATCCCACAAGCCTTCCTTGCACGTTTGATAGGCTCTATGCATTGTCGATGCACTGCTGTTCTCAATGCCGATGGTGGACATACCCGTTATTGAGCTTGTGACATGGTCGTTTGACCCCTGTCCCGCTTGTGGACTCGTGACGTCATTGACTTTTCAATTGAAATTCTCCCCGACTTGTTATGGTCTCATGATCCCTCCATTAAAGTTTATATGTACCTTTGACATTGTTATCGTACTTATCAACTGGGATAATATTTTGACAATGCACAGTTTATGTGCCTAGTATAGATATATACACATCAGTGTCTCATTGTGTCAAGACATAGAGATACATACACCAATGTCTCATTGTGCCCAGACATATAGATAACTTACCAGTGTCTCACTGTGCTCAGATATATGGATATATAAACCAATGTCTCAATGTGCCCAGATATATTGATATATACACCAATGTCTCATTGTGCCTAGATATATAGATAACTTACCAGTGTCTCACTGTGCCCAGATATATAGATACATACACCAATGTCTCATTGTGCCCAGATATATAGATATATACACAAGTGTTTCAATGTGCCCAGACATACAGATATATAGATCTCTGTGTCATTGTGCCCAGATATATAGATCAGTGTCTCATTGTGCCTAGATATATAGATATATACACCAGTGTCTCAATGTGGCCAGATATATAGATCTGTGTCTCAATGTGCCCAGATATATAGATCAGTGTCTCATTGTGCCTAGATATATAGATATATACATAAGTGTCTCATTGTGCCCAGATGTATAAATGACTTACCAGTGTCTCACCATGCCCAGATATATAGATGACTTACCAGTGTGTGAATGTGCCCAGACATATAGATATATACACCAATGTGTGAATGTGCCCAGACATATAGATATATACACCAATGTGTGAATGTGCCCAGACATATAGATATATACACCAGTGTCTCATTGTACCCAGTATAGATATATACACCAGTGTCCCATTATGCCCAGACATATAGGTATATACACCAGTGTCTTAATGTGCCCAGACATATAGATATATATACACCAGTGTCTCAATGTGCCCAGACATATAGATATATATACACCTGTGTCTCAATGTGCCCAGACATATAGATATATACACCACTGTTCCATTGTCCCAGATATATAAATCAGTGTCTCATTGTGCCTAGATATATAGATCAGTGTCTCAATGTGCCCAGATATATAGATATATACACCAGTGTCTCAATGAGCCCAGATATATACACCAGTGTCTCATTGTGCCAGATATATAAATCAGTGTCTCATTGTGCCTAGATATATAGATATACACACCAGTGTCCCATTGTGCCAGATATATAAATCAGTGTCTCATTGTGCCTAGATATATAGATCAGTGTCTCATTGTGCCTAGATATATAGATCAGTGTCTCATTGTGCCTAGATATATAGATATACACACCAGTGTCCCATTGTGCCCATGTATATAAATCAGTGTCTCATTGTGCCTAGATTTATAGATCAGTGCCTCATTGTGCCTAGATATATATAGATCAGTGCCTCATTGTGCCTAGATATATATAGATCAGTGCCTCATTGTGCCTAGATATGTAGATCAGTGTCTCATTGTGCCTAGATATGTAGATCAGTGCCTCATTGTGCCCAGATATGTAGATATACACACCAGTGTCCCATTGTGCCCATGTATATAAATCAGTGTCTCATTGTGCCTAGATATATAGATCAGTGCCTCATTGTGCCTAGATATATATAGATCAGTGTCTCATTGTGCCTGGATATGTAGATCAGTGTCTCATTGTGCCCAGATATATAGATGTACACACCAGTGTCTCATTGTGCCCATGTTTATAAATCAGTGTCTCATTGTGCCTAGATATATATAGATCAGTGTCTCATTGTGCCCAGATATATATAGATCAGTGTCTCATTGTGCCTAGATATATAGATATATACACCAGTGTCCCATTGTGCCCAGACATATAGATATATAGACCAGTGTCTCATTGTGCCCAGATATATAGATCAGTGTCTCATTGTGCCAGATATATACACCAGTGTCCCATTGTGCCCAGATATATACACCAGTGTCTCAATGAGCCCAGATATATAGATCAGTGTCTCATTGTGCCTAGATATATAGATATATACACCAGTGTCTCAATGAGCCCAGATATATACATCAGTGTCTCAATGAGCCCAGATATATATAGATCAGTGTCTCATTGTGCCCAGATATATAGATCAGTGTCTCACTGTGCCTAGATATGTAAATATATACACCAGTGTCTCAATGTGCCCAGACATATAGATATATAGACCAGTGTCCCATTGTGCCCAGATATATACACCAGTGTCTCAATGAGCCCAGATTTATAGATCAGTGTCTCATTGTGCCTAGATATATAGATATATACACCAGTGTCTCAATGAGCCCAGATATATAGATCAGTGTCTCATTGTGCCTAGATATATAGATATATACACCAGTGTCTCAATGAGCCCAGATATATACACCAGTGTCCCATTGTGCCCAGATATATAGATCAGTGTCTCATTGTGCCCACATATATACACCTGAGTGTCTTACAATATCCTGATGCATTGATTGGTGTCTCAAAGGTATGTTTGAGCCCATTGATTTGTGAAGTACTCTGTGAAGCCTGTAATCCCTCCATCTTTTCTACAAACAGAGACCATTACCCTGAGTATGGGGACCTGATGGTTGGTGCATCCTTCCGGCCTGGTTTTTACAACATCCCTTGTACCAGGACTGATTTAGCCACAGTAGGTCGGTTTCATGTAAAGATCAGTGTATTACAGAATGACTTAATGCTAAATTAGCGTGATCTTAGACTTGGCTGTGTTAAAGGCCTGGAGATGATCAGCTGTTCCCCAGGTGTTGTGCTACAAGAGGTTCTATATGGGTGCGAAGTAAGTCCAGCAGGAGGTTTTCCTTTAATAGAAAAACCGCTGAGGTTGAGAAGAGATGAATCTAGTGTATGCTGTGTAGAGGAGAGTAGATATAACAGTATTCCCTTGCTGTTTAAATTGATTTCAGGTACTGTCACAGCTTGGGGACATTCAGTTTTAATAAAAGTCAGGATCAAATTAATTTCTTTTATGACAGTTGATTCAATTTCTTCAATTTCAGTTGGGTTTGTAGTTGTTGTAATGATCTGTTGTAGTTTTACAACAAATATTGAAGACATATCTGCACTTTAGAGGACAAATGGGTTTGTGATGTATCCATGTGTAGGATATTGTTATAGTCTGTTGGTTTTCACAGACAAAAAGGGATTCCATGGAGATGTTGCTGTTTAAAAAATGTGAGACAAACATTTATGTCTTGAGAAGTAAAGTTATGGCACTTGTAATGAGTTCCACAGGTATTACAGAAACATCCAGGTAGGCTTTCAACATGTGCTAAGTTCAACCCCATGGTTTTATCAGTGGAATAAGTCAGACTTACATGGGGATTATTGCTTGCTGTATACCACAGTTTACTAAGTATCCTCATGGCCTCAAAACTGTATTATAGAATCTATGTTTATGAAAATATGTTACATTTGACAACTTTCTTAATGGCATTCATTACACTTGTCAGGGGGTACACAAAGTATGTGATCTAGACCACCAGACTATGCCTTGTCTGACTTCAGATGGCTTTAAACCCTGGATAGTTTTATCAGTAGAACTAATCAGACTTGCATACAGATTGCTACTGGTCGTTTTCACACAGTTTGCTAAGTATCCTCATGGCTTCACAATTCTACAATAAAATCTATCTATGAAGATAAGAGGAACCCTTTCATAACGTAGATGTTATTACAAGCAACAATTTATTATGCAAATGTATACAGGAAATGAACGCCTGCAAAGTGCACATGGCCAGTGGTCACCTGTCTCGCAGACTTCACATAAACAATGATATTCCGTATATTGCATCACACTTAATGTTGAACTAGCTCTCTCACAAACCAGCGTATTGTACATATAGTTTTTGCATCCAGAGCAGAGTAACTGCTAGTCTCTAAAATGAATATATTTTGCAGAAAAAAGGTTTTTAAATAAAAATCAAATATAATGAAAAGGAGCCCAGAGCCTTTCCTCTTTTCAGCCTGATCCATGATGCTGTGGTAATCTAGACTTACCACACATTCTAGACTTGCATGGGTTACATTGGGTATATCTTTCTTGGGGTTTGTATGACAGACTACATCTAGGGAAATAAGTGATATCTTGATGTAAGTCTGCTGGAGGATAGATGCCAGATAGGCCATGGTTAACTCATGCTACTTAGAGAGGCCAGTGATACCTGTATAGCAGCAGCTAACACCTAGTTGCTTTTTCTAGTAACAAATGTCGAAAACATTTAAGAATCTTCAAGGAAATCAAAAGCTAAAGAAATCTGCAAGATTAATGTGATGTGTAGCCATAATATCTGTTCATGCTCAAATGCAAAATACAACAATACATTTTTAAGAACAGTAGGTACAAATTCAAATTGTGAACAGCTTTAATGATCTTCCAGCCACCTTTATGAAAAGATGGTCAGCCATAAATGTGACATGGATTTGGTATGGAACTGAAAATCCTTTTTATTTTACAGCATATGATTGCATACCAGCAGACTCTAAGCTTGATATTTTGGTTGGACAGAAGGATTGGATTCAGATTTCAGATTAAATCATGCCTTCTTCATTAAGAAATCAGCTTTTCAGATTGAAGAAACCAATCACATTTTTTAAAGAAATCACAGTGATCACTTCGTACGAAGTTTCTCCTTCGGACTCCATCAGCTCCACTGTTTCGTCATATTAGTATTTGATGTTGTGGAAATAATGTTTGACTTGTAATGACAGTTTAAATAATATCCCCTTCAGACAACTCTGCCCTCATTGCACATACCGTTTGATTAACCTGGCATTATCGTGTATCACCTTCCATATTACATGTTAATGGCGGCCCCCTTAAAGCACCTTTCCCCAGGATTCTCCATGTGCTGCTACTGAACACTTATAGAGGAGGTTCAATGTAATCACATGCTGTAGTTGTATATAGTTTATCTTGTGGCAGAAACTCAATGTTCCTAAAATATGATGTGGAAAGTGAAATGTGCCTGGCATCCAACATAACTGCAGGCCATGTGTGTTAGATATAGTTAGCGTTACACGCTGTGACTCACACTTCATCCTCTCATACTGCCTCATGTACTTTAATTGTGCCAACTCTATTGGAGTCTAATGTTAAATCATAAATATATAATTTTAAGTTTGAAATGTTGCTATTAGATGAGTTAGAAGATTATGTGCACAATTATGAAAAAATAATTTTAGGATTTACTTAATAAGATCAATATTAAATATTCACAAAACTATTTAGATTCAAATTTCATCAATTAATCATATTTTCATATCCAATCCATTTATTTTGAAACAAATCCATCCCTGAGTGAGTGTTTCATTTCCTTGGCCACAGGTTCATGCTCTTGTTTTACTTGGTGTCCTCCACATTGGGACCTGTAGCATCCTGGGATAGTGTTACATGTGATCAAATAGTACCTGAATAGTAACCTTTACCAGTCAGTCCAGAGAACAACTACTCTACAAAGTGGTATACAGCCCTATGGCTGCCAGTGAGGTAACTGTAAACCAACCATGGTGTCACCTCAGGGAAATGATTGGTGGTATATCATCCTTGTCAGTTTTCAGTTGTCTCCCCTGTCAACATTCATCAAGATGTAAGGTCCAGTCATGATCATTTAATCATTCATGTCTCCACCCAGTTTTCAGTCACCCTCAAACGAAAGCCATGTCTGTCCTAGTCTGCAGAAGCATTCCCCATCTCTGTAAACACTGGTTACAGTGACTGTTGACACATGGCATCATATCCCAGTTGTTAGATTACTGCTTGTCATCATCTCATTGTCTGGGCCCCATTTCAGAAAGCTATTGTAGGGCCATGACTGTTGTACCTCCTACCCTGTAACATACACTTACAGTCGCTACCATAGCATTTGGAAATTGGGCCCTCGTCCAGATTTGACCATTTCCAGACTGCCACTTATACCTGTAATGAGTGGTATAGAAACAACACACAATCAATCTATACTTGCCTATTAATAATTGCTTATTATTCTTGATATAATGTGATAGTTCTGGAAGAGACAATATTATAACCTCATAATTGCAGGTTATCAGGAAATTTGTGAAAACTGGTTTCCATTCACCTAATTCCCTTCAACCAAGGCATGGTGCTTTCCTACACAGGTGATATACTGGGGTACAACTGATCATTATTGCCTGAACAACTAAAGCATATGTGTTATAGGCCCATACAGGCACCATTGGCACAGCTGGAATAGCTGGTGCTTTGCAGGCGAGATAAATATTCAATACCATGGCATTATCATGGCAGTATATATCTTTATCAGCAAAAAGTGTATCTGAATATGCAAAAGAATATGTTCTGGTTTCACTGATTTTTATTTATGTGAAGTTTTTTCAAAGTGTAAGGAGTCATTTGACACTATCAATGTGCAAATCTTCATCTGGACATTTAAAAAGTATAGAAAAAACAGCATGTGACATTTATCTGCAAATCTGTCTCAGATGGTGTGTAATGGTGGACCCAAAAACTGTCTAATGTAAAAATGAATGCAAAAAGTGCGTATCTTAGGAGATTTTTGACAACATAATCCAAGTAATAGACTCAATTATTCCAGGAAATTTTATCTCTTGTTCTAAATAAAGATATAATCCTGTCACAATTAAGTTTTTAACATGGAGAAAGAGACTTGTTTTATGTACGGAACATGTCAAATGGTCAATATTAGTTTAGATTCTGTAGTCAATATAACACTTGTCACATCAAAATGCACGGAAGAAAGAAGTTTGCTATAATTGATGGGAAAATGCAATTCTCTCTGAAATACACCTTTGTAGTTGTGGCGGCTAGTCTTGTCGATTTCAATAAATATTGCGGCAGTGATGGGTCATTGGACAGTTGTGATTGATTGCTGCTAGATGGCTCTGTCGGGGATTTGAGGAGGTCATGGTTGAAAGATCACACGCTATTACTGGCTTTGATATCAACTGTATGCTGTATTTGGAAATGTGATTTTGTGCATCACTGAAGAGAATCTGTAATACAGGGTGGTGAGAATGATATATGATTATCAAGTTATTATTGGATAATAAGGGACAGTGATGTATCTACTTGTGACAGATAGACACAGAAAAAAGACTAGATCCTTGCCATAGTGGAAATGGACTTTAAAAGCATTCTATATGGAGATTGAAATGGAATACAAGTTCACAGTCACCAGTCACCAAATGTTTACCAATTAATTATAAAATGATGAGATCTTGATGGTTACAAAATTTGTATTAGCAATTTGTTAAATTTGTCTCTTTCTTTCATTCAGGTTCAGAAAATCCCCAGACCTCACAAAGTATGCAGCTTATGAGGTGAGTACAGTGTTGGACATTTGTCTGTTTCTTCTTTGTGAAATCCCCCCAAAAAAGTTTATGGTGAGTGTTTATTTCCTGTAGTGTAAAGGTCAAATGGACATAGTGCAAGTATGTAATAGCAGTAGATCCAGTAGGATGAAATATATCATAGATAATATCACATCTACATTGCAGAGGATCAGAGGTTCATGGCATGATATACCGGTATAGTGCAGGATACTTTTTACAAGTTGATTTGAGGATGTTAAATTTATTTAATTGTGGATTCAAATAGAAGGAATTCTTTATTTATTCTTTTATGAAATTTGTGAAAAGTGTGAAAACAATATTTCTAGGGAATTTGATGTTTTCTTAAATACCAGTCAAAATATTTTTTGCTTACGATGTGTCTTTTAGACCTTGGACTGATGAAGTTAGTCGATTTGTAAAGTGTACTCCCAAATATTTGTATTATCTTAAATCTGAAGTTTGTCAAATTTGTTGAACCATTTTGATAATTTCCATCTATTTTGTTTACTTGTTTCTATGTATTTTTAATTTCCTTTGATTACAAAAGTACTGTACTTCATTTATTTGCCTTTGAAGCCCAGGTATTATGCTCTAGAACAAAACCATATCATCAGGTAAAAGGAGTAGAAAAAGTTAAGTAAGTTGTGCATGCCCTCATTACAGTTTTCATAAATTTATATCAGATGTTTACTGATGAAAACCAAAAACAGAATTGGACTAAGTATACATTCTTGTCTTATCCCAATTCTCCTGCAGAAAGAATCCAATATGGTGTTATTGTCTTGAACATATACTTCACATCCATGTTGTATTCTATCAAGGGATTTAGTCAAGGTACATCCATGTCATATTCTGTCAAGGGATTTAGTCAAGGTACATCCATATCATATTCTATCAAGGGATTTAGTCAAGGTACATCCATATCGTATTCTGTCAAGGGATTTAGTCAAGGTACATCCATGTCATATTCTGTCAAGGGATTTAGTCAAGGTACATCCATATCATATTCTGTCAAGGGATTTAGTCAAGGTACATCTATGTCATATTCTGTCAAGGGATTTAGTCAAGGTACATCTATGTCATATTCTGTCAAGGGATTTAGTCAAGGTACATCCATATCGTATTCTGTCAAGGGATTTAGTCAAGGTACATCCATATCGTATTCTGTTAAGGGATTTAGTCAAGGTACATCCATATCGTATTCTGTCAAGGGATTTAGTCAAGGTACATCCATATCATATTCTGTCAAGGGATTTAGTCAAGGTACATCCATATCGTATTCTGTCAAGGGATTTAGTCAAGGTACATCCATATCGTATTCTGTCAAGGGATTTAGTCAAGGTACATCCGTATCATATTCTGTCAAGGGATTTAGTCAAGGTACATCTATGTCATATTCTGTCAAGGGATTTAGTCAAGGTACATCCATATCATATTCTGTCAAGGGATTTAGTCAAGGTACATCTATGTCATATTCTGTCAAGGGATTTAGTCAAGGTACATCTATGTCATATTCTGTCAAGGGATTTAGTCAAGGTACATCCATATCGTATTCTGTCAAGGGATTTAGTCAAGGTACATCTATGTCATATTCTGTCAAGGGATTTAGTCAAGGTACATCCATATCGTATTCTGTCAAGGGATTTAGTCAAGGTACATCCATGTCATATTCTGTCAAGGGATTTAGTCAAGGTACATCCATATCGTATTTTGTCAAGGGATTTAGTCAAGGTACATCCATATCGTATTCTATCAAGGGATTTAGTCAAGGTACATCCATGTCATATTCTGTCAAGGGATTTAGTCAAGGTACATCCATATCGTATTCTGTCAAGGGATTTAGTCAAGGTACATCCATATCGTATTCTGTCAAGGGATTTAGTCAAGGTACATCCATATCGTATTTTGTCAAGGGATTTAGTCAAGGTACATCCATATCGTATTCTATCAAGGGATTTAGTCAAGGTACATCCATGTCATATTCTGTCAAGGGATTTAGTCAAGGTACATCCATATCGTATTCTGTCAAGGGATTTAGTCAAGGTACATCCATATCGTATTTTGTCAAGGGATTTAGTCAAGGTACATCCATATCGTATTCTATCAAGGGATTTAGTCAAGGTACATCCATGTCATATTCTGTCAAGGGATTTAGTCAAGGTACATCCATATCGTATTCTGTCAAGGGATTTAGTCAAGGTACATCCATATCGTATTCTGTCAAGGGATTTAGTCAAGGTACATCCATATTGTATTCTGTCACAATGGCATGGAGCTTGCTGTCTCTACAATTGCTCTGTTCAAGAAAAGCAAGCCAGTTCTGATTTTCTCCAACCAATGAGATTAACACTGTGTTTGTGCTGAGCAGGGCAGCTGGGGTATGACATCAGACAGCAGGAATCTGAGGTTTACCCATACCTTTCCATGTGGATCAGTAGATCCTGCAGACAGTGTGCTGGTAGTGACAGCCTTCCTTGCTGCCAGCGTGTATGGCTGGGCTATAATACAGAGGTTATGCATGATAACACCAACCTCAGCATGGCTGAACTTAGCGTTCTCATTTTTCGGTAGGCAGGAACTATTGTTAACCTTGTGTATATCAACTTTAATATTTTCGTTTAGCACTGATATACCATATAAAGCATAAGACCCAGCAAGGGTCTCTCTCACACAAAGTTTCCATGTACACAAGTAGGTGAGACACTGTAGCACTTCCTTAAGTAATTACCCTTAGAGCTAATGTGAGTATAAGGGTAAAAACTACACTAGATTTGATACTCTCAAGGGAAGTGCATGAGGGAGCAGGTCTACTATTGACTGTTACACAGCCTCACTTGCTGGCTTACAATCATTCAGATTTAAGCCTTTTGATCTTACTGCTGATCTGTAAAAAGTGACACCAAGCCTTGAAAATAGTGAAGCAGTTTTTTGTTTGGTATTAAGTCACAGACACTGTCTACAAGTTAATTGCAGGATTCTTTTTTTGACTATTTTTTAAGTGGATGCTGAGTAGATGTATTGAGGCCGATGATGTATTGTAGTGTGTGATGGGGATGATGACATCAGCTCAGCAGGGGGTACAGCAGTGCCCACCTCATTATGTGCAAGCTAGCCCTTCAGCCCCTCCTGTAGACTAAGGCTTAGTCTCTGAATATATATAATTTGGATAGTAACAAACAAGCCCATTTATATTGAAAAGGAGCCCTAGGGAGACCAGAGATTCCTGAACCTGAGGAAATCTAGACTTGCTTTATTTAGGGCTTTAGCACTGCAGAGAGGGCTAGGCAGTAGGGAAAATAATGTTGTTCAGGGACTGTGAGACAGACTACCCCTCCTGCTGCTACACCTGGGGGCATCAGGCTGATCTGGGTACAGGGCAGGGGTGGCTACCTACTGACTCATCTAGATAAACATCTGTTTCCTTCTTGGAGGACAACGTTTGCAGCTCATTGTAACTGTAAATGTCAGAAGTGTTTTTTGGTGCACTTATGTACTTCTTGACTTATTCATTATTGCCAGTATACATTGCTTGTCTGATGTGTGGAAATAGACGCTTTTCACCCCAACAGTGAATGTTGAATGATTTTATATAGAGATGTAGTAATACACATGAAGCTCTAAGATATTAGTCTCATTGATATCCTATCCAGAATGAGAATTGCCTGTGTGATCAAAAGTAGAACAAGGACGCCAATATCAACCTGTATTGACTGGCCAAGGGGATTATTATAATACGCCATGTTGTGTTTGTAGCATATCGCCTGACTGAGGTGAGCCTAGCCAATCATACAGCTTTAATTACGTGTAACAATCACATCAGGATAAAGTGTTCACGTCCTGCCAGGTAGTTACAGGGTGATCAACAATGCCACTAAAATCTACATATTGCCAGTGAGCGGGATGGGCCCGTGATGCGACTGTCAGCTGGATGGCCCCGTGGTGATGTGACCATCAGCTGGATGCAGGATGACAGAAGGCATAATACATCAGTCTCTATTTACATCACTCAAGTGACATGTCTCTCTCCCTTGTTAAACTAATGTAAGATTTGTTCCTCTATTCCCCAACCTTAAACCACCACACCCAACTGTATTCCTCCATTCCCCAACCCTACACCACCACACTCAACTGTGTTCCTCCATTCCCCAACCCTACTCTACCACACTCAACTGTATTCCTCCATTCCCCAACCCTACTCCACCACACTCAACCATGTTCCTCCATTCCCCAACCCTACACCACCACACTCAACTGTATTCCTCCATTCCCCAACCCTACTCCACCACACTCAACCATGTTCCTCCATTCCCCAACCCTACACCACCACACTCAACCGTGTTCCTCCATTCCCCAACCCTACTCCACCACTGTGACCTCCACCCCCTGTACTCACCAGTCCTGTGTCCCTCACTGTGACCTCCACACCACTGTACTCACCAGTCCATGCCCCTTACTGTGACCTCCACCCCCTGTACTCACCAGTCCTGTGTCCCTCACTGTGACCTCCACACCACTGTACTCACCAGTCCTATGCCCCTTACTGTGACCTCCACCCCCCTGTACTCACCAGTCCTGTGTCCCTCACTGTGACCTCCACCCCCTGTACTCACCAGCCTATGCCCCTTACTGTGACCTCCACCCCCTGTACTCACCAGTCCTGTGTCCCTCACTGTGACCTCCACACCACTGTACTCACCAGTCCTATGCCCCTTACTGTGACCTCCACCCCCCTGTACTCACCAGTCCTGTGTCCCTCACTGTGACCTCCACCCCCTGTACTCACCAGTCCTGTGTCCCTCACTGTGACCTCCACCCCCTGTACTCACCAGTCCTATGTTCCTCACTGTGACCTCCACCCCCTGTACTCACCAGTCCTGTGTCCCTCACTGTGACCTCCACCCCCTGTACTCACCAGTCCTGTGTCCCTCACTGTGACCTCCACACCACTGTACTCACCAGTCCATGCCCCTTACTGTGACCTCCACCCCCTGTACTCACCAGTCCTGTGTCCCTCACTGTGACCTCCACACCACTGTACTCACCAGTCCTATGCCCCTTACTGTGACCTCCACCCCCCTGTACTCACCAGTCCTATGTTCCTTACTGTGACCTCCACCCCCCTGTACTCACCAGTCCTGAGTCCCTTACTGTGACCTCCACCCCCCTGTACTCACCAGCCCTGTGCCCCTTACTGTGACCTCCATCTCCCTGTACTCACCAGTCCTATGTTCCTTACTGTGACCTCCACCCCCCTGTACTCACCAGCCCTGTGCCCCTTACTGTGACCTTACTCCACACCCCTGCCTCTGCTTGAAATTTTACCCTGTCCCCAATGCACAACCACCTCCACCTCCTCCACACACACCCTACCCCAGTCCTCCACACATGAGGGTGATGCCCACGTACCCTTCGGTGATGTATATGGGCATGGTGAAGATCACTACGACTAATCTCATATTACACCCCAATTAAAATGCTCCATACCAAGCCTTTAATCCTTGCCAGTGGCTATCATTTGTAAACTGGTGCCTGTGGCCACTCCAAGAGGCAGGCAGCATCAGTTGTGAGTGTTAACACTGATCATGCTGCAGCCTAGCGGGATGTGTAAGGCTGCTTGTAGTCTGTCATGCTGTATATTGCTTATGGAAATTGACAAGGCGTAAAACTACATTTGGATTCGTATTTCATGCTGTTATAGCCTTATATGACAATGTGAAATATTGGTGTGGGAGGTTGCTGCTACTGCTGCTGTTGTTGCTGCTGCTGTACAGGTGTAAGTACCTCACTTGTCAATGGAAATACTTTCCTTCTGATACATTCCAGTGGATTTCTTTCACTTCGGTTGAAACTTTACAACTTCTTGCTTGAATGCCCCCACTGTCAAAATTGTTAAACAATACTCCAGATGTTATGAGTTTTGAGACTGCAATTTTATCTGTATGTCACCCAGTTCTCCAGCATTTTGGTTCAAACAATAGTAGCTGTTTATTGTTACTATTTATAATTGTAGAAACTGATTGACATTTGAAGATATAGCGGTGATCAGTTCCTGTCTAGAATGCCCCATTAGAGTTTTCGGTCATATGTTGTCCCTTATTTCAGGGGCAATGTGTCACCTACACAGAATAGCTAAATCTACTTTTGATGGTTCATACTGTTTAGCAGAGACCACGTACCGATATATGGTCTCTGTGTTTAGTTATCAAACTAAAATATGGTCATAATCAATATGTTTGTCAGATTGTTTCGCACCAATTCAGATCACAGACAACTGTTTGGTTCAGGCACGTAATTCACCATTACTGGTAGTTATGGCCCCCAGCAACTCCAGCCACATGGTTGTAGAGTCTATCAACTCAAGTCATCAGTTTCATGTGGTCTGATATCAAACACTATTTATTGTATTTGTGTTTAGTTACTCAGGGGAAAGATAATTACAAACCTGCCCAGCAATGTAAGACATAGGGTTGTGTATACACACAGCAAAAGCACCAGATCACCAGGGACCACACTAGATCACCAGGGACCACACCAGATCACCAGGGACCAAACCAGATCACAAGGGACCACACCAGATCACCTCGGACCACACCAGATTACCACGAACCACACCAGATCACCAGGTCACCAGGGACCACACCAGATCACCACGGACAACACCAGATCACCACGGACCATACCAGATCACCACGGACCACACCAGATCACCACGGACCACACCAGATTACCACGGACCACACCAGATCACCACGGACCACACCAGATCACCAGGTCACCAGGGACCACACCAGATCACCAGGGACCACACCAGATCACAAGGGACCACACCAGATCACCAGGGACCATACCAGATCACAAGGGACCACACCAGATCACCTCGGACCACACCAGATTACCACGGACCACACCAGATCACCACGGACCACACCAGATCACCAAGTCACCAGGGACCACACCAGATCACCACGGACAACACCAGATTACCACGGACCACACCAGATCACCAGGTCACCAGGGACCACACCAGATCACCAGGTCACCAGGGACCACACCAGATCACCAGGGACCACACCAGATCACCAGGGACCACACCAGATCAGCAGGTCACCAGGGACCACACCAGATCACAAGGGACCACACCAGATCAGCAGGTCACAAGGGACCACACCAGATCAGAAGGGACCCGACCAATCTCCAGGGACCACACCAGGTCACCAGGGACCACACCAGATCACCAGGGACCTGACCAATCACCAGGGGCCACACCAATCACCAGGAACCACACCAGATCTCCAGGTACCACACCAGATCACCAGGGACCGTGCTTGTTAACAATCACAGAAGCTTGCTGTTGAAGCTTGATGCTGACATCATGAAATGAGTTCCAATGTTTTTCTATGCAGGACTAACATGGAAAACCTGAGGAAAGAGTATTTCATGTATTCTACACAATAAATATATCAGGATAAAATCTGAAATGAGTAAATTACACAATATCTGAAATCACTTTTCTATATAAGTCTTTCTTATCCTCTTCAGCCAGTCATGATTATATAATGTGTAAAGAGATTCTGTTATATACAATGATTGTACTCAGTTGGCATATTATCTATTTTCTTTCATAGTTTTGCTGTTTTTACCATTTACAAGTTATTAAATTGCCAACTGGTTACTGCTTATGAAGCATCACAGAAATATCAGTACAATCTTGTAAGGCGGCAGTTGAAATACAAGCAAGATCAATAACAATGAAGTTTCCCTTACCACAGTGGAGATCAGAAGGCTCATGACACACTGCTATGTGTGTTTCTTAATTTCCATATTTCACATTGATGTGGACTGACATGACTGATTTCTACCCAGATTTTTGTTGTTGTGGTAGGAATGTCATCTGATTTTCCTGAATGTGGCAGTGATTATTGTGACACAGGCCAAGGAATTGTACCTCTCTGTGTGCAGAGGAATGTGAGCCAGTGCATGGATTTAACATACTTTAGTGTTGCAGTGCTGTTAGGGATGCTTTGTGGGGTATACATTCACTTATCTTAAATTGTCCAGTACATTAGTCAATAGGATGTCGCAGTGATACTGAGATAGTCTCATTGTAATTTGATGGCCTGTGTGTATGTTGGGATGTCATGGCCTGTGTGTGTGTTGGGATGTCATGGCCTGTGTGTGTGTTGGGATGTCATGGCCTGTGTGTATGTTGGGATGTCATGGCCTGTGTGTATGTTGGGATGTCATGGCCTCTGAGTGTGTTGGGATGTCATGGCCTGTGTGTATGTTGGGATGTCATGGCCTGTGTGTGTGTTGGGATGTCATGGCCTGAGTGTGTGTTTGGATGTCATGGCCTGTGTGTGTGTTGGGATGTCATGGCCTGTGTGTGTGTTGGGATGTCATGGCCTGAGTGTGTGTTTGGATGTCATGGCCTGTGTGTGTCTTGGGATGTCATGGCCTGTGTGTGTTTGGATGTCATGGCCTATGTGTGTGTTGGGATGTGATGGCCTGTGTGTGTGTTGGGATGTGATGGCCTGTGTGTGTGTTGGGATGCCATGGCCTGTGTGTATGTTGGGATGTCATGGCCTGTGTGTGTGTATGGATGTGATGGCCTGTGTGTGTATGGATGTGATGGCCTGTGTGTGTTGGGATGTCATGGCCTGTGTGTAAGTTGGGATGTCATGGCCTGTGTGTGTTGGGATGTCATGGCCTGTGTGTGTTGGGATGTCATGGCTTGTGTGTGTGTTTGGATGTCATGGCCGTGTGTGTGTCTTGGGATGTCATGACCTGTATGATTGTGTTGGGATGTCATGGCTTGTGTGTATGTTGGGATGTCATGGCCTGTGTGTGTGTATGGATGTGATGGCCTGTGTGTGTATGGATGTGATGGCCTGTGTGTGTTGGGATGTCATGGCCTGTGTGTAAGTTGGGATGTCATGGCCTGTGTGTGTTGGGATGTCATGGCCTGTGTGTGTTGGGATGTCATGGCTTGTGTGTGTGTTTGGATGTCATGGCCGTGTGTGTGTCTTGGGATGTCATGACCTGTATGATTGTGTTGGGATGTCATGGCTTGTGTGTATTGGGATGTCATGGCTTGTGTGTGTGTTGGGATGTCATGACCTGTCTGTGTGTTGGGTTGTCGTATGTATGGAGAGGATCAAGTAATGTCCCAGAGAAGGAGTATACAACGTTTCTACCGACTACAATTAATTATGTGTCTGATCCAACAGCCAGCCTCCTCAGTGGTAAATGTTCTGTTACTACAAGGGTGTAATGCAATTGTTGTCTGTGTGTGAGGGTTTGTGGGTGGCCAGGCTCACGTCACATGGCCTTGTTAACACAGGAAGTAATTGACCCTGGCTGACCTGGCTGAACTGGGGACGCTGATGGACAAATACCGCTGTTATGCAATTAGTGGGAGAGTTACTACTTATGACAAATAAATTAATGAAATTTGTTATGGAAAGTCATGTTAATACATTTCTATTTTATTAAATCAGGGCTACGCCATGTGGCCATGGCTTCATGAAGTGTTGTGTGATAGCAGGAAGGACTTACCTTTCAGGAACCTAGCTGCACGATTGTCCACAGAGCCCATGGGGAGACAACACAGAGCAGGTGCTGTAGTGTGGTAGGATGGGTACAGTTTTCAAGTCCTGTGGAAGTTTTGTGATGAAAGCAAGACATTGTGTTATTTGTATTCATCAGACATCGTAGTTAAATAAAAAGTTTGGTTCCAAGTTGAAATATGGTGCAAATAGTACTTTTGAGCACTGTACAAAATGGTTGTGGAAAAGGTTGCTAAAAGGTCAGAAGGTCATAGTGGGCGAGTTGAATATTTAAAGTTTAAGGTTATTAACTTTATCCAAGTGTGTTCTCCATTTCATGAAATATTTTATTTAAAAAAAAAGAAGTTTTTTAATTAAAACAAAATGCAAATAATGAACACTCCCTATCTCAAAATGGCAGCTATCAGACAAATTTAAGCAGATGTAGGTTTTGTGCATTTTGTAAGTATATTATTGCTTCAGTTTATCAAATCAATGTAAATCCAGCTATTGATAAAAATGAAAGAACAGTTATGTATGTATGAAACTAAAAAAAACTAAAAAGAGATGTCTATTTCTGTTTGATGAGACTGTCAGTAAGGAAGCAGTCCTAATTTCAAAATGTAGTTGGTCAATATCAAATTATGCGTTATCCAATTCTTATTAATAGGTTTAAAAATTTTCTTCTAAAAGCAGAGTTCTTTGAAAATAGATAAGAATATAATTAAATGATGGGGAGAAAACATTATTTCTGCTTCACACTCTCTCAATTAAATCCCTTGAAATAATTTTGAAGTCATCGGATCGGATCATTCTAAAATAGTTATAATCTTTGAAAAAAAATATATACAAATAAATGTAGGGGAGAAATCCTTTTTTTATCAGCAGCATAGGAGAAGGTGGGGTCTCCATATTTAGCTTGTTTGACTTTGGGGATAACAAGAAGGTGCTGATTCCCTGATCTCAGAGATCTAGATGGTGCATAAGCCTGAAGATCTGAGAGGTAGACTGGAGCGATGTTAGTCATGCACTTGTATGCGAGACAGAGGAGTTGAAAAAGATTCTGTGTTTCACGGGCAGCCAATGGAGGTCCTTTAGAGTTGGGGTGATGTGCTGTTTTCTGGAGATCTGGGAGGTAATGCGAGCAGCTAAATTCTGTATGCAATGGAGTTGGCCAGTGACACAAGATGGAGATCCAGCCAAAAGGCCGCTTACAGTAGTCCATATGGGAGTGACTAGGCTGAGGCAGAGAGTTTTGGAGGCATCTTTGGTAAGAACGGTCTGGCCTTACTGATATTGGCGAAGATGGAAGTAGCAAGTTTTAGTAACATACTTGACGTGTTCTGTCATACTGAGATCTTGATCGATGACAACACCCAGATCCTTGACAGTGGAAGAAAGTGGAATGGTTGCTCCACAGACAGACGCACTAGTATTGTCACATTGCTTGAGTTATTCAGCCTGTCCCAGAAGAATGGACTCTGTTTTCTCTTTATTTAATTTCAAGGCATTTGATGACATCCATGCATATCTTCTGGCAACAGTCTGATGTCTGACGGAGAGACGCTCTAGATGACTCTGTGTTTGGTTGAAATAACTTCCACAGCTGCGTGTCATCTTCGTAGTTCTAAGTGGTCAAGGTTGTGGTCTGCTACAATAGAGCCAAGTGGAACAGTATAGAGGGTGAAGAAGATCGGACCAAGCACGGATACTCGAGGGACTCTGGACTCAAGCCTAGATGCGGTTGACATAGACTCACCAATAACAACAGTTTGAGTCCTGTCCTGTAGATAAGGTGCCAACCATGATAAAGCTGAATCCTTTATTCAAAGTTCTGTATCAAATCTTTTGAGGAGTCTCTGGTGATCTATCGTGTCAAAGGCACTGCTTAGGTCAAGTAATGTGAGCAGGGCCACTTGTACTGTGTCAATACCACATCATAGGTCATTCAGGATCTTCAGCAGAGCCGTCTATGTGCTGTGGTGTGCTCTGTAGGCTGATTGGAACACCTCATAGAGGTTATGCCAGGAAAGGTGTCCCATGAGACGACTGGAGACTGCACGTTCAATGAGCTTGGATATAAATGCTAAGTTTGAAACAGGCCTGTAGTTTTTTGGATCCGCAGAATCAAGGCTTGATTTCTTCACATGTGGCCTAACTAGAGCTGACTTGAGTACACGTGATGACATAACCAGATGAAGTAGAAGAGTGGTAAAAGAAGTACGTCGAGACAGTCATATAGAAGGTCAGTTGGAATCGGATCAAGTGAACAAGTTGTTCTTTTTGCAGATTTCAGTAGTTTAGTAACTTTAGTGTCAGTGAAACTATCAATATGAGTAAGAGGCATGCCATCAAACATTTTTGGAGGAAAATCAGCTTCAGCCACAGCCATAGAAGACGAAATTTTGTCATGAATGTCTTAGATCTTTTTGTAGAAATATTCCGAAAATGTCTGTGCTGTTGCTTCATTGTCATCAGATGTCGGAAGTGACGATTCCCAGTGTTTACCCAAGATACTGAACAAAAGTTTGAACAGCAACTTTGGACTTGACTCGTTGACTTCAATCTTAGAATTGAGATGTTGATTTGGCTGATGACCGTTGTTGAGTGATTTCTGGCTGAAATATACATTTGGTGATGAATCTCCAGGAAACATTTTTTCCATCTGCATTCTGCTTTCCTCTTGTCTCTTTTATCTTGTCGAACTTCAGGTGTGAAGTCCCAAGCAGATGTTTTAGTGACTGGTATGACTCTGTCCTTCACTGGTGCATGGTTGTCTAGCAGCTC